TCCAATTACCAAAAAAAATAAAAAAAAGTCAGAATTTTGTTTGAATTTCCTTATTTTTCTGATTATAAATGTATGCCGAATATGAACTGCTGTATTTTCAAAACCAGTTGAGATATCATCATAAAATTTTGTATTCATGGTAAGCACATTAGTAGCATTGAAAATATGTATAAATCTCATCTGGACCCATTTTCTCAGTCACGGTCACATTTTATCCCAGGTAAGAGTTGTCTTATTGAGAGTTGTCTCATCTTTTCTATTACTACCTGTAACATCTATGTTATATAGGCACCTATGTTTTAATGTTGTATTTATATTGTGTCATAGATCAAACTTATTCGTTCAGTGTATGTTTACTTGTTTTTGTTTAAATGTCTTTTTGATCAAGTTAAGCCATTTCAATTGATATTTTATAGTGCGTCTTTTTATACAACCGCAAAAAAAATTTTGTGGTCGTATATTGGTATGACGTTGGCGTCGTCGTCGTCGTCTGGTTTCGTTGTCGTCGTTGTCGTCGTCCGAAGACACATTGGTTTTCGCACTGTCACTTTAGTTTAAGTGAATGGATCTCGATGAAATTTTACCATAAGGTTCAATACCACAAAAGGAAGGTGGGGATTGATTTTGGGGGTTATGGTACCAACAGTTAAGGAATTAGGGGCCAAAAAGGGGCCAAAAATAAGCATTTTTGTAACTTCCAGACATAACTTGTGTGTTAGTGTATGGATCTCTCTGACATTGTACCACAAGGTTCCATATCACAAAGGGAATGCTGGGATTGATTTTGGGGGTAATTGCCTCCAAATTTTAGGAATTAGGGTCCAAAAAGGGGCAAAAAACAAGCATTTTTCTAGTTTCGTGACAATAACTTATGTGTAAGTATATGGATCTCTCTGACATTGTACCACAAGGTTCCATATCACAAAGGGAATGCTGGGATTGATTTTGGGGGTAATTGCCTCCAAATTTTTAGGAATTAGGGGCCAAAAAGGGGCAAAAAACAAGCATTTTTCTAGTTTCATGACAATAACTTGTGTGTAAGTATATGGATCTTTATGATATTGTACTACAAGGTTCCATATCACAAAGGGAAAGCTGGAATTGAGTTTGGGGGTAATTGCCCAAAACGTTTAGGAATAAGGGGCCAAAAAGGGGCCAAAAATAAGCATTTTTCTAGTTTCCAGACAATAACTTGTGTTCAAGTGTATGAATCTCTCTGAAATTGTACTGCAAGGTGCCATACCACAAAGGGAAGGTTGGGATTGATTTTGGGGGTAATTCCCTCAAAATTTTAGGAATTAGGGGCCATAAAGGGGCAAAAAAACAAGCATTTCTCTAGTTTCAGGACAATAACTTGTGTATAAGTATATGGATCTTTATGAAATTGTACTGCAAGGTTCCATATCACAAAGGGAAAGCTGGGTTTGAGTATGGGGGTAATTGCCCTAAACGTTTAGGAATTTGGGGCCAAAAAACAAGTATTTTTCTAGTTTCCAAACAATAACTTGTGTTCAAGTGTATGGATCTCTCTGAAATTGTACTGCAAGATACCATAACACAAAGGGAAGGCTTGGATTGAGTTTGGGGGTGATGAATGATAAGGGGGTTCAAAAAATTTGGGGGAGGGGATTTTTTTTTTCCTTTTTTTTCTTTAAAATTTTCCATTTTAAATTGGTTATTTCTGATTTATATATAAAAGCAAATAATAATGATATGGTTTGAATAGGTAAATTAAAATTTTTTAAGTTCTTAGACCACATTCATTCTGTGTCAGAAACCTATGCTGTGTCAAATATTTAATTACAATCCAAATTCAGTGCTGTATCAAGCTTGAATGTTGTGTCCATTCTTGCCCCAACTGTTCAGGGTTCGACCTCTGCGGTCGTATCAAGCTGCGCCCCAGTGGAGCATTTTATTATGTTGTAATGTTACACTACTGTCTCAGGTTAGGGTGAAGGTTGGCACCTGTTAAAACGTTTAAACCCGCTGCATTTTTATTCACCTGTCCTAAGTCAGGAGCCTGTTGTTCAGTGGTTGTCGTTTGTTGGTGTGGTTCATAGGTATTTATTGTTTTTCGTTTTTTATATAGATAAGACCATTGGTTTTTCTGTTTGAATTGTTTTACACTAGTCATTTTGGGGCCCTAAGTTATAGCTTGCTGTTCAGTGTGAGCCAAGGCTCTGTGTTGAAGGCCGTACTTTGACCATAATTGTTAACTTTTTATACATTGTGACTTGGACAGAGAGTTGTCTCATTGGCACTCATACCACATTTTATTTTTATTGTGACGTTAAAACTTCTGAATTTAAGAATTATATGCAGAGCTGAAGTGCTTCATATTTAAAAATGTGCGCATGATCAACGCTTTGACAAAGCTATAAAATTAAAAAAGAAGCATTCAGTTCTTATAATTACATTTTTATGCTACAACTATGAATTTAAAGAGTTATATCAAGTTTTTTGTTTATTTTTCAATGCTTTATTTTAACATTGTCACAGATAGCATGTGCAGTTCAATGCAGTCATAGCTGTTGTATTTATACGGAAACAAAATATGATATTGGAGTGCCTCGCAATTGTTGTCAGCCAATAAAATTTATGGATTCTAATGAAACATACATGTAATGTAATTATAGCTAATTAAAAGCCATAATCTGGGCAGATAGATTGATGTTGATCATATCTTTGATGAAATAAACTTCCTGGTTTTGATGTTATTTGTAAGAAGATACATTTAATAATATATAAAATGAATGCTTATTAAATGATAATTATGACTTTTACTCAGTCATGTTATGGTTTATATGGGTTTGATAACATATCCATTATATAAAATGTGACATAAAGAGGTCAATATGAGTTTGTTATGTTTTATTTACAGCGTCCTGTCACACAAATGGTTACATTACACAGTATGTTGGTTTTCTGGTTTAAATTGTTTCACATTTTGTCATGTCGAGGAGGCTTTAATAACTGACAGAAAGGGTTTTGCTTATTGTGTTCAAGGCAGTACATTGGCCTATAGATGCTTACATCATTTGGACTATGGCGAATAGTCGTCTCATTGGGGATTATTCCACATCTTCTAATTTTATATTATTATGTTTATTACAAATAGATATGAAATATTCTGAAGAACAGTTTTGCTAATTATTATTCATTATCTGTCAATAAAGGAATATATATTTTGCAGGTATTTTATAGTTTTAGACATTTTGCTTACTTGTTGCATATAAAGTTATAGATAAAATATGGTTAATTTGTAAATTGCACAGTGAAGATTGATGTGGCAATTAATGCAGGAAAATTGCTGCCATATTTCAATGCAGTTGCAAAACTCAAAGTGATATATAGCACATCATTTTGTTGGTAATGGCAGTTTTCACAATTAGTGTAAATGTTATAATGCTATAATTGAAACTTATCCCGTTATGACACAGAAAAATGCATTGGCTGTATTCAGTAACTGTTGTGCACTATATAATTTATTTTTTAAGTGCATATATATAATATATTTGTTGATTTCAAATTTCTTGTAAGTTCCTTTTTACCTGGCTTTTATCTACAGAAGTCTAATATCCTGACTTTCCGTTTACCTGTAAAATGATTTTAATAAATGGCTTTTGATTGGCTTCTTATGGTATTTTCTAAATTTTCTTAAAACTCAACCAATCTGAGTAAAAAGTTCACTAGTAAATTTTCTCCTGTCAACTTATATGTCACCTCAAGGTCACCTGGTGCCGAATCCCATCAAATTGTTGCTTTGAAAATACTGACCTTTTACTAGTAGGTAAGTATAAATTGGCCGATGTGGTGGTACATGTATATTATGTCTGAATCCAAAAACATTTCACTTACTTTTCAACTCTTTTGCAAAATTAAATGTATAGCTTTACCTGACTCATTAATTTTATTGATTAATAAATTTTCAATAAGCAATATAGTTGTCTATCGGTTAATTGTTTTTCATATTCGGTCTGCACAATGTTTAAATGCATCTGTATTGTGTCTCTCTGGTCCTTTCCAGAACACAGATATACAAGTAATTATTATGCAAATCTAAACCAAGAATTCCAAAAGGTAACATTTTGATTGGATGAATTAAGGGTATCTGAATGTGACCCCTAACTGGGTTTCTCCAGATCTTCCATGTGACATATTAAATAACAGTATGTAACAGCAAGTGAAGGTCTGCTTTTGATCAGATTGAAGTATCAACTATAGATGTATAAACCCACTATGGGTTTATACATCTATGTATCAACCAATCAAATCACACAAAGTCTGCCATGGTTAGTGGTCTAGTATTTCACCAATATTTGTGACTTTATTTCTGAAGTGCAAGATCTTGTAACAATCAATGAAATTATTTATTAATATTTATTTGTTAATAATATCATCCCCTTCTACAAAAGTAAGGCCTATATGAAGTAGTTCACTTTGATACATTTTCTTACTCCCACTAATGTGTATCTGTAAGTAATTAATACAGACAGTACACTGCATCAGTTAATTGTTCCAGACTAATTCCCAATTAGTATTACTGCTACCATGAAATCCTGTCTGTATCTTTTACAGGATCATCAATAAGATAAAAGAGCAATATCTTTGTTATGTATTTTACCTGTTGAGGACAGTTATTGGTTGATGGCCTATTGATTTATACAGGCAGTGTTATATATTTGTAAGATAGGTTCGTTTTTCAAGTCAATAGCTGATAGCTCTGTTTCAATAGAAAATAATTTTTCACAACAGTCTTTATATAACACAGAGGTTAATCATGGATACCTGATATTTTTTAAGCAAGATGTCTATGCTATTGATTGTAATATTTAGATAACATATGTTACAGTGTTTATTGTGAAAATCATGAGTAAAACAGATTCTATTGAACAAGAAATTTTAAGGAAATAAAAATTTCAAATTGTTTTCAGAGTTTTAAATGATTTGGATATTAACAAATCAACAAATTGATCGGATGACAGTTACGAAAGTATAAATATTTAATTATGATGTTCAATTATTAACAGTCCTTGCTGTTTAAAACAATGTATTGTATTATTATTGATTTGCGAAGTGCAGTTTTCATGGTTTTGTATAAACTTTGCACCAAATTATGCAAGAATGGATAGGTTAAAAGTCAGGACAACATTACGTAATGTCAAATCCATGGATATACCATCACAAATATTCTAACGAACATTCCCAAAATATGAACAATCGGAGGAGGCGATCACCACATAGGAACAGCGGAGTTCTTAAACTATCTGCTACTTCTGATAATATTCCTCCACCACCAAAGTAAGTTTTTTTCATCGTAACATTGCCATTGTTTTATGATTTCACATTTCACCAGATCTGACTTTAAATACTCATTAAATAAGTCAACATCTGCAATTGTGAATACCATAGATTAATGTGTTTTTCGTGTTATTTTAATTTTTCTTTGAACAAAATTATGTCTGTGTGAACTAATATGGATGTTAATTGTAATTATAGTTGAAAATTGGAAGTCTTTTATGCAAAAACATCATTTTCTGTATAAAATTGTGATTAAATGAATGTTCCATGTGAATGTCATTCAAAGCAGGTTAACTGCAAAATTTGCATGAAATGTTTTGATTCCGAATCAATAAAGTCTGAGTTAGAGATTCAAAAATTTTCGAAAATGAATGATTAAAACTATGTCTTTTGCAGTGTATAATTTTTATCTATATAATACATGAACCCTGACAATTAATTTCAGAATTTTTGCTCAAGAAATAAAAAAGTTGTACATAAAAAATTAGGTCTGATGTTAAAAAATTATCAACAATACTAAGTAAAGTAAATAACTGTAAATAAGCAATGATCTAATGACAGCAACTGGTCAATTTACAATTCTATACATTATAGCTTATATATGAAAGGAGTTTGTCATGGTCAAATGTTTATCATTTGTATTTCAATGAATGATATTGTTAGTGACAACAGCATGTCTATTGTGATAATAAAATATACATCCCTCTTTATTAGTGATATACAAAATGACTATAGTTATTATAGTCATACAGTTACCTATAATTGCTTACATCCAATTCATTTAGATTCTGGTGGATAGTTGTCTCATTGGCAATCATACCAAATCTACTTATTTCTATATCATACCAAATCTTCTTATTTCTACATCATACTACATCTCCTTATTTCTACACATCTTACCACATCTTATTTACATCATACCACATCTCCTTATTTCTACATCAAACCACATATCCTTATTTCTACATCATACCACATTTAATTTCTATATCATACCACATCTCCTTATTTCTACATCATACCACATATCCTTATTTCTACATCAAACCACATCTCCTTATTTCTACATCATACCACATCTAATTTCTACATCATACCACATCTCCTTATTTCTACATCAAACCACATCTCCTTATTTCTACATCAAACCACATCTCCTTATTTCTATATCTTACCACATCTCCTAATTTCTATATCTTACCACATCTCCTTATTTCTATATCTTACCACATCTCCTTATTTCTATATCTTACCTTATTGCATTGAATGGACATCTTTTTAATTTAAGATAGTTGTCTCATTGGCAATCATACCACATCTTTTTATTTCTACATCATACCACATCTCCTAATTTCTACACCATACCACATCTCCTTATTTCTACATCAAACCACATCTCCTTATTTCTACATCATACCACATCTAATTTCTACATGATACCACATATCCTTATTTCTATAATAATCTTACCACATCTCCTTATTTCTATATCTTACCACATCTCCTAATTTCTACATCATACCACATCTCCTAATTTCTATATCATACCACATCTCCTAATTTCTATATCTTACCACATCTCCTTATTTCTACATCAAACCACATCTCCTTATTTCTATATCTTACCACATCTCCTTATTTCTATATCTTACCACATCTCCTAATTTCTACATGAAACCACATCTCCTAATTTCTATATCTTACCACATCTCCTTATTTCTATATCTTACCACATCTCCTTATTTCTATATCTTACCTTATTGCATTGAATGGACATCTTTTTAATTTAAGATAGTTGTCTCATTGGCAATCATACCACATCTTTTTATTTCTACATCATACCACATCTTCTTATTTCTTCATCATACCCCATATCCTTATTTCTATATTACATTGAATAGACATATTTTTAATTATTTATAAAATATTGTGGCAAAAATAACAATAAGAAATTTTGGAACTGTGAATTTCTGATTTATTTTGATACAATGTATAGAACTTTAAACAGGCTATACACATGGAGTTCTGTTTTCAAAGAAAGATATGTTTATATCCCTTCTATATAAGGAGGAAATGTTGAGTAATCTCAAAACTTATTTCAATTATATTATACATAGAAGATTTTGTGAGAATTACAGCTTGATATATGGCATAGACACTTGTCAATTGTTGAAGATTATATGTTGACCTAAGGTTGTTTTTTATTTGTTGCTGTCTCATATGTAATGATTATTTTCTTTTGATATTTTAAATGGAATTTTATTTTGTCTATAGTATTGACCTCAGGAATCTGTATAAGACACATATATTATACACATTCAAAATTATTTGTATGTACATTGTAACATATTTGTATTGTAGCATTAATGGAATTTTTAGATAGCATTTTACATTGAAGCTTTATATAGTGTTTAATTTTGTCTAGAATATTTAATGAGGGGACAAGAATTTAAACTAACTAGACGCACAGAGAATCCCCCTCCCAAAAAAGCCAAACCAAAACAAAACAAAAACTATAAACAAGAGAAAACAAACAAGCAAATCAGATATAACTCAAAGCTTTCTTTTGCATCGTAAAAAACAGAACTTTGCAACCCCTCCCTTAAAACCTAAACAGTTCAAAAATGATTTTAAGCAAAAAAGCATTAATTAAAATTGCACCACTTTTTTTAAAGAGTTTGTTCTTGATCTAAACCCTCTTGCGAACATTATTTACTGTTTAGTTTTACATTTGTGTATTGTCAAGACCTTTGTGTCATGCTTTTTTCAGTAACTGTATGCAAAGAAGGTGCACCTGACTAACAATGTTTATGGTATTTTTCAGGGTGAGAGTAGAATTTTTCACCAATGAGAAGTCATTAAAGGAGAAGTTACAGCTATATTTCATCAAAAACCAAAGATCAAGTAAGATATCATCCTGTTAATTGTTAGTTGTGTTTTGTACAATGGGATTGGTTGGTTCTTATAAGTAAACCAGTTATCTCCCTTGACCATTTTATCCATGAAACAATTCTCAATTTCTTCTTCCATCGTTTAATCAAAATGGGAGCTATTTCACAAAGAAAATAGTGATTTTGGTGAAATTTGACAAAATCTTCTGAATTTCAACCAAATTAAGGCCAAGGTAAGAGTGAAGGGTTTGACAAACAAATTAATCAAATCAGCTATGATACTTGTTTTAACAAACATAATGTCACAAGATATTTTGTGTTGATGCATGCATTATTTGTTTCTGATCCTGAAAACCTGTGGAAATTAGCCTGTTTTCATAGAATTTGTTGGAAAATTGAAATTGATGATACATGTAATTGTAATGTCATAAAAAGAACAGTGATAAGTAAATTATCACAAATAGACATATTTTCAACTCTGCATTGTTTTTTAAAAAGTATGATTCAGTTTGATAATACCATGTAGGTATTCAATACTAATTTGAAATTTTAGCTTCAAATGAGGGCCAAACAAACAGTATAGGGGCCTTTTCAAACCTTCTCCTGTGATAGTAAATTAAATGAAACAAATGCCAAGTGACAAGTGACAAGTGACAAGTCAGAGCACTACAGAGAAATCTACCAGTTTCTTTTGAGTAATTGACACCATATAGAACTTAAGTTTAATTCCCAGGCTGCAAACATTGGTAATTGCATGATAAATACAGTCTTGCTGCTCTGCTGATAAGCTGCAGTTATTGGAATATCTAAATTGACTTTAGACACTAAGGTCCCAAGTTCACAAACTAAAAACAAGATATAAGATCAAATATAGCTAAGAGAACATTGATTTGTTAACTCTGTACAAGGCTAATCAGAATTTGGTCATCCTTATACTAACTTGTAGACAAGTAATGAATACACTTGGTCTCTTTACCATCCAATAATATGTTAGCAACCTATGATAGATGGTAATTCTATTGTATTTAGTTTTCATAGCAAAAATAAGTTGCAATTATGTTGTTTGCAAGGTTTGAATTTCCAAAATCTAATTTTTGTTGATAAATGATAAAACTTCTAGTAAATTTACGTAAAGATTTTATAAGATGATATATTTTCAGGTCTGTTTCTATGATCTTTCTGTTAATTGCTGGGTTGCTGTCTCATTAAAGTATACCCCACATCTCCCTTTATTCATATTTTACATTCCTTTTCATTTGATCTTGTTAAGCTTATTGTATTGAATGTCTTGATTATTATTATACAAAGAACAGAAGAGAAATAAATAGGTATCTGCAGTGGGAATAAAAAACAAATGGCATCTAACGATCTTTCAATGACCTGTCCTTGGTCTTTGGTGTATAGTTGTCTCATTGGCAATCATACCACATCTGCTTATTTTTCTACTGTAGCTGTTTACATCCTTGTTCATTGGTCTTTGAATGGTAGTAGTCTTATTGGTAATTATACTATGTCTCCTTATTGTTGTTTGAAGTCTTCAACAAGACAAGTATCTTAAAATACACCAACTATTTTTAGCATTCAGAATCTAGAAATATGTTATTATACATTTATAAGTGTCAGTGAAAAGGTTTGCCATAAATCACTTTTTTTCATTTGAATTGTTTTTTTATCTTTAATCATGGCCTTTTATAGCTGACTGTAATTACTGTATGGGTTTTGTTCATTGTTGACGGCTGACCGTATACTGTGGCTTATAGTAATGCTTAAATCCATGTCATCTAAACACTGGTGGATAATTTCCCATTGGCATTCATTCCACATCTATTTTTTACTAATAGATTAATATTTTTTTCATTGAACAACCACATAATCTCAGAATGGTTAAAAATGTACTCTTCTCAGATAGATATTTTAAAAATTGCTTTTGAGATAAATCTTTACTATTAGAGCAGTGATTTCAAGTCAGGTAAAAATGATTGTTTTCATTATCAGAGACCAAAATTATACCAATGCAAATATAAGGTAAAAGTCAGAGTGAGCTTTTTCCGCCATTTTAAAAAAAATTAAATACCTCAAAAAGGAGCTCCATAACCTATCAATATTTTGAGCTTACTTTGTTCCTTAAATATTGCTCTTCTGACTTATAGTATCAATTTTTAAATCTAGATTTTTTTTGAATTTCACCTAAGTACATCCTTAAACAAATGTTTTTATTATCAGAAAAACTTTAGTAATTGATCACTGATGGCATAATCAGTTTGATTAAAAGGTTATAAAAAGTCATTTTTTCATTCCTGTTATTGATTTTTTAACCAAAATGATTTTTACTGATAATAGGAATTAAACATGGAGTTTATTGAAAATTATGTCAATAAGCACATACATCTCTTGTAGGGTGTGCTTTTTTCGCTTCCATAAATTCATCAGAAAAAAAAGAATTTTAGCCTTTTTATGAATATTGTAAATTCAAGTATTATTGGACTGTTTTTATTAATGTAAAAAATGTGACAGTATCAGGTTCTCATTAATAATAACTCTCATTCGTAATTTCTGTAGTGATTTTCCTTCATTAAATGTTTGTAATCACATTAATTAGATTTCATGTTTTTCCCAGTAGTCAAGGATTCACAGTTATAAATGCACGCATTAATTTCTGAAATAACAGTACTTTTAACTGATTTCAGAATTTTGCAGTTCATATACTACTGTATATTGGAATAAGTCACTCCCAGCATGAGCTCAATACTATAACATTACTAGGAAATTGGAAAATTTGTTGTCATCTATGTTGATTGAATGTATTCAGTCACAGCTTTAGTCCTGCATACTGGTCAATTTTCTAAGATTATTATTGATTTTCTTTAATTGATATCATAATATTATAACAATATAACACAGATACTGGTCCACATAAAAGGATTCTATGTATTTAATGTAAGACCAGGAGAAATTACCTGGTAGCCAAATGCTCCAGGGTTTAAATGTTGATTTATAGGTTCAAAGTTCAAAGTTGTATTTAACACACAATACAAGATGAAAATAACATTGAAAGTACTTTTATCTGTGATTCCAATTATCGTCTAAAAGAGTCTTAATTATTACTGTGACAGATTAGAATTTCCTCAACTTATATTTCATCGTTAACTGACAACTAACTGCTCACTGTTGAAGGCCGTACAGTGACCTATAGTTGTAAGCTTCTACGTCATTTCGTCTCTGGGGGAGAGTTTTCTCATTGGCCATCACACCAAATTTGGCTGGGTTTAGAGGGTTTTTGTCAACATATAAGGATAGTTTGGAAGTAAATCCGTTTTGTTCTCAAATTACATACGATCTTCAACAGTGTAAAACATTGCACAAGTTTGTGATTGGGTAAATTTCTTTACTCCAGTCATGTGTTTCATATCATGTGTGCCATGATTCTTGTGCTTTGGATATGGGGGTTTATGGTTCAAATTTCCTTACACAAAGTCATTGTATAATAAGTCTCATTATGAAAATAAGGAGATGTGATATAATTGACAACTATTGACCAGTCTGAGAGTCAAAATGATATGAATGTAAGCACTCTAGGTTACTCTACGGCATTCATCAATGAACAAAACCAATACAGTTATTGTTTATCTTAGTAATCATTAATCTGCCTCTACTAAAGTTTTTCTACATATGATATATATGTAGTTGATAATAAGATAATTAGAACTGGTGATAATTGGTTTTTAGTTTTTACTTAATGCAATATGCAAAGAATTAATATTTTGTCCTTCTATTTAAATAATGATTATTTTGTACTGTTATCAGTATTATTAAGGTAATAAGGATAGGAAAGTCGATATCATAATTCTATATTTGTAGGCCTGCAGATCATATTTATTTATCATATTTCTATATTTGTAGGCCTGTTGATCTTATTTACTTATTATAATTCTGTATTTGTGGTCCTGCGGATCATATTATATTATTTTTATTATATATTTGTAGGCCTGCGGATCAGAATTTTTAATCTGCTTATCAAGCTTCTGTCATGTGTACTTTACTTAGTCAGAGTTGGCTTTGATACAGTGGAAATTTGGTAAGTTGAAATATTGCTATGGTAAAACATTTTTGGAAGATATGCCACTTTGCCTTATCAGTCTTGCTTTCAACATATAATTTTTTGTCGAGCCTGCGACTTTTGTCGCAGAAAGCTCGACATAGGGATAGTGATCCGGCGGCGGCGTTAGCTAACTTCTTAAAAGCTTTATATTTTAGAAGGTGGAAGGTCTGGATGCTTCATACTTTGTATATGGATGCCTCATGTTACGAAGTTTCCGTCAGTCACATGTCCAATGTTTTTGACCTCATTTTCATGGTTCAGTGACTACTTGAAAAAAAAGTTAAGATTTTTTGTAATGTTAGATTCTCTCTTATTATAAGTAATAGGATAACTATATTTGGTATGTGCGTACCTTGCAAGGTCCTCATGCCCGTCAGACAGTTTTCACTTAACCACGACCTCATTTCATGGATCAGTGAACAAGGTTAAGTTTTGGTGGTCAAGTCCATATCTCAGATACTATAAGCAATAGGTCTAGTATATTCAGTGTATGGAAGGACTGTAAGGTGTACATGTCCAACTGGCAGGTGTCATCTGACCTTGACCTCATTTTCATGGTTCAGTGGTTATAGTTAAGTTTTTGTGTTTTGGTCTGTTTTTCTTATACTGTATGCCCGTCAGACAGTTTTCACTTGACCTCGACCTCATTTCATGGATCAGTGAACAAGGTTAAGTTTTGGTGGTCAAGTCCATATCTCAGATACTATAAGCAATAGGTCTAGTATATTTGGTGTATGGAAGGACTGTAAAGTGTACATGTCCAACTGGCAGGTGTCATCTGACCTTGACCTCATTTTCAAGGTTCAGTGGTTATAGTTAAGTTTTTGTGTTTTGGTCTGTTTTTCTTATACTGTATGCCATAGGTCTACTATATTTGGTGTATGGAATGATTGTAAGGTGTACATGTCTAGCGGGCAGGTGTCATCTGACCTTGACCTCATTTTCATGGTTCAGTGGTCAAAGTTAAGTTTTTGAGTTTTGGTCTTTTTTTCTAATACTATATGCAATAGTTCAACTATATTTGGTGTATGGAAATATTTTATGATCTATTTGGCAGTCACGCAGGTTTTATTTGACCTTGACCTCATTTTCAAGGTTCATTGCTCAGTGTTAAGTTTTTGTGTTTTGGTCTGTTTTTCTTAAACTATAAGCAATAGGTCAACTATATTTGTTGTATGGAAGAATTGTTAGCTGTACATGCCTGCCTAGCATGGTTCATCTGACCTTGACCTCATTTTCATGGTTCATTGGTCAATGTTTAGTTTACTTGGTTAATGTTAAGTTTATGTGACAGTTGTAATAAAGCTTTATATTTAGGACTATCAACATAATATCAATGATTAGTAAAGAAGGCGAGACATTTCAGCATGTGCACTCTTGTTAACATATTAGTAAAAGTATTCCTGAAGTACTATGCTTATGATAGACCTCTTATAGTTGGAAAACTTAACATACATGCCTTTCATTTTAAAGGAGAATAAGATGCTTTATCCTCTCAATCATGCTTCATTTGCTATTGAAGTTATAAATTTGTTCAAATATCAAGATAATGTCTTTTTATGAGAAGTTCGTTGAATAGACCATTGATTTTTGTGTGCAGTTTAATAAGCATACATGCATCCATTTAAAAGGTTTTAATTAAGCATTTAGAATATCTGTCATGCTTTATCGATGCTTGATTTGTTCATTGCTGAAATTGCTGATGAAGTATAACTTAGGATTGGTGATCTTTGATAAGATTTGAATGCTGTAGTATGAACTTGATAATATTGTAAGAACATTGTTTGATCTCCTCTCTAGTTATGTTCCATTGAGTTTGATCTTATTGTTAAGTGTTGAGTTTTCTAATCCAGGGAACTTGAGATGTATTTGATGAGTGATATCCACATCTATGTATACTGAGATAAGATATCATAGTTGTTGGTTGTTGTCCAGTTTTAAACTAGTCTATTCTCTTTAGGGATTCTGTATACAGAAATATTTTCTGATTTTGCTGCACACCTGAGTGGCCAAGTCAGAAAATCGCTCGGAACTCAGAATCCCACCATTAGGGATCAAAACTGGCTATCACACATATTTTTTGAAATATGACCTTACTTTCATGTACATGTAACAAGTTTTCTTTTTCAATTTACTCTGTTTACATCTAAATTTTATCTTTTCTGTTGTTGAAAATGATGTTTTGTTGGGTTTCTGTTTCACTGATGTGTATCCTGTATATCCTAGTTTTATACATAACTTGGGATGTAGTTTCTATGACGTCATCCTTAATTTAAAATCTTTAAATTTACACCATGTAAATTATTTTTCTTGAGGTGGAATTTTAGAATTCAAGAAATTAAAAGACCTTTATGTTTCATAGCATCTTCTTGATAACATTTAAATAATAGGCTTCTTTCATTACCACCTATTTTTTGTTTAATTCCTTAGAGCATATTGTTTGTGGTATAAAACCACTAATTCATAGCCCCATTGCTTTCTATGTTAAATTCTGCAACTTCCAGCATGAATGGCAATTTTGTCTTAAGTTCAAATAAAGTGGCATTTATTTTATGTCAAACCTGTACCTTATGCTGACTTGTGCTGAAAAAATCAACATACCTTTAATTGCATATTAGAGCGTACTGGTTCCCAGAAGTTTGATAGTACAAAAACAGGAACTTCTGATCTGAACAACAGGCCAAATAAGCCCTCCTATTAAATTTTCATTTACTTCTTTATTATTCAAATGAAACTTTCAACAAGGGTTCTACAGTAATTCCAAGTCCCCAAGCTTTCATTTGATACTAAAACTACCCAAATATTCCCACTATTGACAAAGATACAGCTATGCGTAGGAACTATTTTGTTTAAAATATGTACTACTTTCTTGTATGTTCTTTCCGACCGGGCCCGAATTAGTGGTTCTATACCTATGTGCTGGGAACATGGATTTAATGTGAACTTGACTATTGATTAACATAAGCACTATGGAAATTTTAAGCTAAAATTTACTAGCCCAAAATTTAGAACTCTGAGCTACTGGGCCCCTGTTCATCCTTTTCCCTGTAAATATATTCATTAGAACAATCTGGATTTAAAATCTCGACAAGTTGATAATGGCTTGATATCTTCTTTCCTTGGTGACATTATAAAAAAAGTCATGACATTTTAAATCGCCAAAAATTGGTTTACCATTTCATTTTCCATCGTTTTGATTGAAATCAATCTCGATAACTTGTTTTCTTTGCGTTTTCATACTGAATTTAATATATAGATTTATATGTCCAAAGGTTACAGATTACTTTTTATATTGGTCAAACCAGGAACCAGTATGAGTGAGGAGGAAATTATATACAAGTCTTTACTGTTCCCAGTCTAACTACTATTGTGGATGATTCTAATTGATAGGTCAGCAAGGAAATTATATATCATATATAGATATCATCCCACAGGGATACTTTATTGTGTTATTCTGATTCAGATTCATACATTAAACCTGTCTAATATTCATACTTAATATGTCTAGAGATACATTAAATTATTATCTTTGCGGTTGTTCACATAATGTTGCTTAACTAACAAAGAGTATGAACAGAATCTGGTATCAAATCACCATCAATATTTTATCAGTTTGTAACTATTATATATTTTTATCTATCAAAATATGGGGAATTTACAGTGTTCCACTAAATTGATTGTTATTCTTAGCTCTCATGTGGCTCATCTTTCACATGGCTTATTTCTCACAGGACTGAAATTTCACATGGCTAAGCTTTAACAGGACTTAGTTCTCACACGTCTTAGCTCTCATGTGGCTTCAGTGTGAGAAGTTAGACCATGTGACTTAAAATATAGCTTTCATATGAGCTTGAACATTATCTAATTTAGAGAGCAAGAAATAAGCATTGTATTGTATATTTTCAGTGGAAGCTAATTCCCAGGTATGACATGAGACAAATTTTCACATTGTAAATTTAAGACTGTGTCAGTATCCTATCATCTGTTTACTCTGATTATTCAAATGAAGTGTCAATAAAAGTCTAAATGGTTAGATGCATGTTTTACGTAACCTTTATCATCAGGTTTAATGTTTACAGCAACCTTGATCATCAGGTTTGATGTTTATTGCAACCTTTATCATCAGGTTTAATGTTTACGTAACCTTTATCATCAGGTTTAATGTTTACAGCAACCTTTATCATCAGGTTTAATGTTTACGTAACCTTTATCATCAGGTTTAATGTTTACAGCAACCTTTATCATCAGGTTTAATGTTTACAGCAACCTTTATCATCAGGTTTAATGTTTACAGCAACCTTGATCATCAGGTTTAATGCTTACAGCAACCTTTATCATCAGGTTTAATGCTTACAGCAACCTTTATCATCAGGTTTAATGTTTACAGCAACCTTTATCATCAGGTTTAATGTTTACAGCAACCTTTATCATCAGGTTAAATGTTTACAGCAACCTTTATCATCAGGTTTAATGTTTACTGCAACCTTTATCATCAGGTTTAATGTTTACAGCAACCTTTATCATCAGGTTTAATGTTTACAGCAACCTTGATCATCAGGTTTAATGCTTACAGCAACCTTTATCATCAGGTTTAATGCTTACAGCAACCTTTATCATCAGGTTTAATGTTTACAGCAACCTTTATCATCAGGTTTAATGTTTACAGCAACCTTTATCATCAGGTTAAATGTTTACAGCAACCTTTATCATCAGGTTTAATGTTTACAGCAACCTTTATCATCAGGTTTAATGTTTACAGCAACCTTTATCATCAGGTTTAATGTTTACATCAACCTTTATCATCAGGTTTAATGTTAACTGCAACCTTGATCATCAGGTTTAATGTTTATTGCAACCTTTATCATCAGGTTTAATGTTTACTGCAACCTTTATCATCAGGTTTAATGTTTACTGCAACCTTGATCATCAGGTTAAATGTTTACAGCAACCTTTATCATCAGGTTTAATGTTTACAG